GTGAACTACCTTAAGTATCAACACTAAACTTTCTGTGTGAACTATCGTAAGGATCAATACTAAACTTTCTGTGTGAACTACTGTAAGTATCAACACTAAACTTTCTGTGTGAACTACCATAAGGGTCAATACTAAACTTTCTGTGTGAACTACTGTGAGTATCAATACTAAACTTTCTGTGTGAACTACCATAAGGGTCAATACTAAACTTTCTGTGTGAACTAATGTAAGTATCAATACTAAACTTTCCATGTGAACTGCCGTTAGGATCAATACTAAACTTTCTGTGTGAACTACCATAAGGATCAATACTAAACTTTTTGTGTGAGCTATCGTAGGATCAATATTAAACTTTCTGTGTGAACTAACGTAGGATCAATATTAAACTTTTTGTGTGAGCTATCGTAGGATCAATATTAAACTTTTTGTGTGAGCTATCGTAGGATCAATATTAAACTCTTTGCGAGAACAACTGTAAGGATCAATACTAAACTTTCTGTGTGAACTATCGTAAGGATCAATACTAAACTTTCTGTGTGAACTACTGTAAGTATCAATACTAAACTTTCTGTGTGAACTATCGTAAGGATCAATACTAAACTTTCTGTGTGAACTACCATAAGGATTTTCTGTGTGAACTTCCATAAGTATCAATACTAAACTTTCTGTGTGAACTACTATAAGTATCAATACTAAACTTTCTGTGTGAACTACTGTAAGTATCAATACTAAACTTTCTGTGTGAACTACTGTAAGTATCAATACTAAACTTTCTGTGTGAACTACTGTAAGGATAAAATTGAGAATGGAAATGGGGAATGTGTCAAAGAGACAACAACCCAACCAAAGAGCAGAAAACAGCACAAGGCCACCAATGGTGATCAACACTAAACTTTCTGTGTGCACTTTGATAGTATCAACACTCAAGTTTATGTGTGAACTACCATTGTGTGAACTACTGTAAGTATCAATACTAAACTTTCTGTGCGACCTACCATAAGTAATAATGTTCAACTTTCAGTATGAACTCATGTAAGTATCAATATTCATCTTTCTTTATTATAAAACTTAATTAGTTTAAAAGATATCTTTAAAACTTGATAAGATATCTTGAAAATGGAATAAATATAAAAATGGCTTGAGATATACTAAGGGGGGGTCTAATGGAAATTTTGGGGTTGGTTATTTAAGTAGCTAATGTGCAATTTATCTTACCGACTATCTTAAAATGTGGCATTTAGACTAGTGGCCTATCAAAGTGATCAAGTCCTCAATATTAAGAACATTCTACCATTGGTCTATACAAAAACAAATGCCAACAATAACAACTTGTTAGCCTTAATGTGTTTTCTGCATTTATTTTCAGTTGTTCATCATCAATTTCTTCATCTGTTATTTGGGTGAAATTTTTCAGATTTTTCTTCAGCATCATGTTGTTTTTATAAAGCTACTTACTGTATATTAAAATAAAACATGCCCTTTGACCCCATATTAAATACACAGGGTCTCCACGAGTTTGCTTTTAACCAATGATATTCCTAGAAATGTATAGGAGGTAAGATAAATGCATATACATATGTCCACAGTTGGAAAGCTAAGATGTTATTAATATATTTGTAAATAAAAAAAAAAATAAATGTGGATAGTGTCCACATGTGTCCACAGATGATGCCCCCCTTGCATATCATAAAGTTATAAAGGGACATAACTGAAGAACGGTAAAAGTGACGCTACCCAAATTTGAACTTGATCTGAGTTTTGTGGTAATAAGCATTGTGTGTAAGTCTCATAACATTTGGTTTAGGCTAACTTAAGTAGAGAACAGAAACTAAAAATTCTGCAATTTTTCTATTTGTAAACACGCATAACTCTAGAACGGTTGTGTATTAGTTTTATAACATTTGGTTGAGACAAACTAAAGTAAGAGAACGGAAACGAAAAATTCAGCAATTTTTATGTTTATAAAGGGACATAACTCAAGAATGGTAAAAGTGTCACCACCAAATTTTGTACTTAATCTGTATTATGTAGTAATAAGCATTGTGTATAAGTTTCATAACATTTGGTTGAGGCAAACTAAAGTTAGAAAACAGAAACAAATAAAAATTTGTACTTGATCTTAATTTTGTGGTAATGAATATTTTTCATAATGTTTGGTTGGGGCAAACTTAAGTTACAGGATGGAAACTAAAAAGTTTTCAATCTTTCGATTTATAAAGGGGCATAACTCAATAATGGTTAAAGTGACACTACCCAAATTCAACTTGATCTGTGTTTTATCAGTGGAAGTCAAAATTAAACATTGCATTGTATAAAGCATTGATTGTAGTTGATTCAAATATAATCATGGACAAAGGAAGATAACTCCAATTTTAAAAATAAATTGCTTCGATGAGCGCAGCTGGATACAACCGCAGATGTCCAACCCTGAAAAGTTGGGCCAAAATGGACACAATATTCACGCTTGATACAGGTCTGAATTTAGATTGTAACTAAATTTTTGACACATAATAGGTTTCTGACACAGAATAACTGTAGTCAAAGAACTTCAAATTGGTTATATGATTTGAATTATATTCAATTTATTGCTTTTGTGCAATACACTATGCTGTTGAATATTAACCCCCAAATTCTTTCCCTCAAGATATGGTCAGTATCTCAATTCAAATTTCTAATGCAGTTTGCAACCAAAATTACCCATTTAAATACATAATAAAAATTTTAAAATATAAAATGACATACATAGTCATGGCTAAAATTAATATTAATTAATAGTAACTGCTAAAAATAAATTGACAGCTAATCACCTCAAGACAATCATCATTTCTTAATACATAATTTACAAGCAGTGTAAGGGAGGTAATCAAATAGTGTTCTTTAATTTGAATTGGATTACCTCCCTTACACTGCTTTTAAATTGTCTCAATTGTCCTTAAGCCGGAAAAACCCTTGTTTTTCCCCTTTATTTGCCCCTAATTACTAAATGGCTTGAGCCATAACCCCCTAAAGTCAATCCTAACCATCCCTTTGTTGTATGGAAGTTTGTGGTATAATTTCTTACACTTTAACACAAGTTATTGTCTGGAAACTACAAAAATGCTTATTTGGGCCCCTTTTTTGGCCCCTAATTCCTAAACAGTTGGGACCATAACCCCCAATCCCAACCTTCCTTTAGTGGTTATAAACCTTGTGTTAAAATTTTATTGATTTCTATTAACTTATACTAAAGTTATTATCTGGAAACCATCTGTCTTCGTAAGACGCTGACGACGACGACGACAACGTGATACCAATATACGACCAAAAAATTTATAATTTTTGCGGTCGTATAATTACTTGATATTTAGAAGAAAATAAAAATTTTGCAATTTTTCCATTTATATAGGGGCATAACTCTAAAGTGACGCCACCAAAATTCAAACTTGATCTGTGTTTTGTGGTAATAAGTATTGTTTATAAGTTTCATAACATTTGGTTGAGGTAAACTTAAGTTAGAGAACGGAAACTAAAAATTTTACAATTTTTCCATTTATAAAGGGGCATAACTCTAGAACGGTTAAAGTGACGCCCCCAAAATTCAAATTTTGTCTGTGTTTTGTTGTAATAAGCCTTGTTTATAAGTTTCATAACATTTGGTTGAGGCAAACTTAAGTTAGAAAACAGAAACTAAAAATTTTGCAATTTTTCCATTTATAAAGGGGCATAACTCTAGAACGGTTAATGTGACGCCACCAAAATTCAAACGTGATCTGTGTTTTGTGTTAATAAGCATTGTGTATAAGTTTTATAACATTTGGTTGAGGCAAACTCAAGTTAGAGAACGGAAACCAATTTTGGGACGTACAGATGTACGTACAGACGGACAAGGGTAAAACTTAATGCCCTCACCGCTACAGCGGGGGCATAAAAAAACAAACAAATTGGGTGCCAAACATCAATCAATCAATCAAAAATAACAATTGATCACCATGCAGATATTGGTAAATTTCATTGACTTGGCTTTATTAGTGATTTTCATATTATAATTTTACAGGTCAAACCAAGCACAGATAATTGGATGATGGTGATATTTAAACCTTACAGTGAACAGTTCAAGCCAGCCAATGGATGTATGTTTGCAATTTTTATATGAAAACACTATTGAAATAAAACGTTATACAAGTACTACATTGAAAATTTTATATACATGATGTAAATTTATAAAAACCGTCCTTAAAGTTATAAATAACGAATATTTGATTTTTGTTCTACAATTATTTGAATAAAGTAAACTGACAATACCTATTATAAAAGTCTACATGGGCAGTACATTTATTCTAGATTCACTTCTGGCATTGAGTAATGAAGAGCTATTTACATCCATATTCATTTAAAAACATAGATTTATTCAGGTTAGTCTGAAAAAAGAGTATGTCAAAGCTGGTTTAAACTAATACCTTTGGAGAATTGGGATATATCTTGTCTCTCTAGGTCTTTGCTTATGTGTCCTTTTAATTTTAGTTTATTAGACAGAAGTGTTTATGATACTTGTCAATTGAGCTCAAAAGAAATGTACCAGCCATGAAAAACTCAGTGATGTCTGACCTGGATGTGGTATTTGTACTATGGTCAGCTAAATTAAACTAATATGTGGTCTTGACCTAACAGAAATTCTGACCTAAGTCATGCCATACCTACTACTTGTGTGTTCGAATGTAATAATCAGACAAAGTATCATCATTTAACTCCAATAACCAATCGTAATATTAACCAAACAATTTGTGAACATAAATTTAGGAACAATCAACTAAGCTAGAAAAACTGACCTTTATGCTAGCTATTCTTAACTTGATCGAGACACACCTTCTAGTTGTGGAAAATAATCATAATTAAAATTAGCAAGATATAGAGTGCAAACCTAAGGTCAGCAACATTTGAGTCCTGTACAAAGTCAGCTGTCCTGTAGATAACTTCCCTATATTTTGTATTTTGTTAACCAGAGATATAAATGACAATGTTCAAAAACTAAGTAGATATTTATTTATTTTTCTTTATTCTCATTGTTACTTTTATTTCTTTTCATTGCTCTGTAATCCCCTTCTTGGTTAGCTAGCAATCCATATAACTGTTTCACCTTCCTTTTTCTCTCATCATCCCTGCAAAAATAAAAAAAATATCTTTCTTTTTCTGGTAAGCCAAGGTTTATATCAAATGCTATTGTCACTAGAATATTTTGTATGTCAAGAATTAAGCTAACTCTAACTGCATGAACAAACCATAATTTTATTCATTTTTTAACATGATTTTTGTCAGTTTCTTATTGATTTAAGATTGTTGTTTGTCCCTTTGGTATCTTCCTACTCTTTTTTTATGAAAAGTCAGCTGTAGTCTTGAAAAAAAATGAATCAAAATATTGAGCCTGTGTCCCTCACCTGAGTTTATGTGCATCTTCAACAATGGACACTCTCAAACATTGTAGACTAGAATAGAATTCATGACAAAAATCTTTTTGTTTATCTTGTATTAAATGCTGATCATTTTTCTTGTTTAAAGATTCTCTCTTAAAATAAACGTCATTTAAGGGCAATCACTCCTATAAAGAGTCTACTAACGATTTCAGATAAATTTGACTTATTTGTAGATCTTGTCTTGCTGATCAATTTTGCAATTTAAAGTTTCTCTCTACCTATTATAGTTTTCAAGATAATAGGCAGAAATGAAACTAGAGGCTCTAAAGAGCCTGTGTCGTTCACCTTGGTCTATGTGCATATTAAACAAAGGACACTCTCCAACATTGAAGACGAGAATAGAATTCATGACAAAAATCTATGTTTTGTTGATCTTGTATTACTGATCATTTACTCTGTTTAGTTTCTCTCTATCTTCTTTAGTTTTTGCTCAAAACACAAAAGAGGGTAAAAACAATTCCTCATTTAAGGGCAATCACTCCTATAAAGAGTGACAGTCTACTAACTATATTGGAAAATTTTGACTTGTTAGTAGATCTTGCCTTGCTGATCATATTTGTGATTTAAAGTGTCTATTTATCTATTATAATTTTTATCATTTAAAGCAAAAACGCAAAAAATTGTTAAAAATCGTCATCAAAGGGCAATAGCACTAATAAGGAGTCGACTGACAATATCTACCATGCTGACTTATTTGTAGAACTTGTATTGCTGATCAGTTTTGCAATTTAAAGTTTCTCTCTATCTACCATATTTTTCAAGATAATAGGCAAAATTGAAAAAAATGGTAAAATTTGCCATTTAAGGGCAATAACTCCTAAAAGAAGTTGTCTGACAGTTTTGACGTATATGAACAATTGGTAGAGCTCAACATTCTGATCATTTTTGTCAAGTCAGATTTTCTCTATTTATAACGGCTTTCAAAATAATAGACAAAACTTGCATTTGACCCCTATGTTTTATTTTTAGCCATGTCGGCCATCTTGGTTGGCAGGCGGGTTCATCAGACACATTTTTCAAAACTAGATACCCCAATGATGATTTTGGCCAAGTTTGGTTAAATTTGGCCCAGTAGTTTCAGAGGAAAAGATTTTTGTAAAAGTTAACGACGACCACGAACGCCAAGTGATGAGAAAAGCTCACTTGGCCCTTTGGGCCAGGTGAGCTAAAAAAAGGTAAGATTCGTCATTTAAGGGCAATAACTCCTATTAGAGGTCGTCTGACAGTTTAGATATACCTGGTCAATAGAGCTCAACATTCTTAATATTTTTGCCTGTCAGATTTACTCTATTTATTGCAGTTTTCAAAAGCATAGACACAACTTGCATTTTACCCCATTGTTCTATTTTTAGCTGCATCAGCCATCTTGGTTGGCAGCAGCGTCATCAGACACATTTTTTAAACTATATACCCTAGTGATTATTGTGGCAAAGTTTGCTTAAATTCAGCCCAATAGTTTTAGAGGAGAAGATTTTTGTAAAGGTTAACAGACGACAACGACGGACAACAGACACCAAGTGACGAGAAAAGCTCACTAGGCCCTTTAGGCCAGGTGAGCTTAAAATGTACGTGGTTTTGGAAATTTCATCAAACAAAACTATAGTAAATTTGTATTTGGTTGAATACTTGAATTCATGCTTCTATTTTAACCAAAAATTTTGTACCCCATTCATAATAACGAATACACAGTAATGAAAGTGTAAGAAGAGCTCAGATAATAATGCATACTTTTCTTTTTGTTCCTGGAACTGTACTTGAGCTATCATATAGGAATCTTTTCTAATTTCTCTAATGGCTCCTTTCATCTCCTTTTTGTATTTATGTACAAGTTTCTGTTTTTCATTTATTTCCTTCGATCCTCCCTTCCTTTTCTTTCTATCATCAAACCTAGAAGACAAAAGAAAACATATAAAACTGTGGTTTTTTTTAATGTTAATTTTAAACAAAGAATATTACCCAATGGTAAATTTATATTAATTTTTTTAATGCCCTTTTACAACCCTATAAGCATATATGCATGCACAATATTTTTTGTTTTTTATTAAATTAATTTAGGTAAAGTCTCACTTTTGAGATTGAAAAGATAATGTTTACAATTGTACTCAATAAAGGGAATACTCTTAAGGTTATTGTCTATGTGTATGGGCTTTGATACTTTTCATTAATGTTTTAAAGTCTCACTTTTGAGATTGAAAAGATAATGTATACAATTGTACTCAATAAAGGGAATACTCTTAAGGTTATTGTCTATGTGTATGGGCTTTGATACTTTTCATTAATGTTTAAATCAAATCATTCGACTTCAATAAATTGTACTGACAAAAAGCTGATATTCTGTATACAGGTCATGTTTTTCACCAAAGATTCATTCTATTATGATAAATTATGTATATAAATTTCCCAGTAAAAATATGTTTGTTATTTTATCAAATATCTTAAATGACATACACTTCTTCTATTTTGGGTTCAAACATTTTCAGTGGTGGTGGTTTCTTTTTCTGCATGACTAATGGCTTTCGTTTAGTTTCCATCCCATCTGTAATATCATTTACAAGTCTTTGTATTTGTTTCTTCAAGGATTCTGGGTAATTATTGACAGGAAGTTTACCACACTGACATTTGATTGGTGAAAATATTTCTTTATATGATGGATAATTATCATAAACTGAGGAAAATTGTTCCAGTAACGATACTGTAGATGATATCACAGATAACCTGAAACATAGAAAGAATCATAATTGTATTAACATTCATTATTTGACAATAAGTATATATCAGTGCATTCAGTGGTTAAGGTTTCAACACATTTTTTCTCTCTCACATTTTCAAACTTTAATGCATGTGAGAAAGATTTTTAGTACTGATTAATTGGTGACCAAAGATTCATGCTGATTTCATGAAATTTTAAAACTAAACAAAACTGTGGTCTTGCATAAATCTTCTTCCGTATACTGCCCACATTCAACCCATTGAATAATCTGATATACATTTAAAAATTAATATTTGTATTTTGTAAGATTTGGTTTAATGTTTTAATTTTGTTTACACTACAAAAAAGCAGAATATAATTATGCTCTGCTTGTTAAAATGAAATGAAAGGTGGGAAACGTAAGAATAACTAGATATGGACCATGCCCCCCTCTGCTCTGCCATATGCATGAGTATAGTTCCACATACTTTAGATTTGACAAACAGTGATGTTGAGATACAACTTGAAATTGTTGTGCTGTCTGAAAGACACAAATGATGCTCTGCCTGACCAGTTACCATAAGAAATTATAAATTTAACACTATGTATGATGATTTTATTCTGAATGTCTACACTTGCAGGACTGAATATCCAGCCAAAAGGTTTCAACTTTCCAGTTTTAGTAGTCACCAAGTTCAACTTCCCGGTATTGATTAAATATTTGACACTACTAAAAAATCTTATTTATTGCATTAGGGACATTAAGCAGTAGTAGTACAAACCATGTTTTCAATTATATAGCAAGTGAGAAGGAAATGAAGTCCAACTACCGGTTTTTGTGAATATCTTATCTAACATCCCCACCTTCTGACTTTTAGTACAAAAAAATGACTTAATTCCAAATACCTGTGGACATGCACACTTCCATTATGTGTACAAACAACCTACAAAATAGTAAAGCTGTAGCTAAAAAACTGTAGGAGATAGCCGGACAAACCATGATCTCTTTATGCAGCTAGTACCAAAAAATGAGTAAGTCCAAATACCTGGCATTTTGAAAATATTTGAAAACGAGAATGTTTCCATAGTACATGGTTGCCCCACTCGCACTATCATTTTCTATGTTCAGTGGACCATGAAATTGGGGTCAAAACTCTAATTTGGCATAAAAATAGAAAGATCATATCATAGGGAACAGTTCCAAGTTGATTGGACTTCAACTTCATCAAAAACTACCTTGACCAAAATCTTTAACCTGAAGTGGGACAGACGGACGGACACACAGACCGAAAAACATAATGCCCCTCTACTATCGTAGGTGGGGCATAAAAATCAAAATCCTGTGGAAATGCACATCTCTATTATGTTTAGAAACATTCTACAAAATATTAAAGCTGAAGCTCAAAAACTGTAGGAGGAGATAGCTGGAAAAACCATGTATCTATATCTGGACGGACGAACGAATGGACTTACGGACAGGGGTAAATTAATATGCCCCCTCAACATTTTGTCCAGGGGGCATAAAAACCTTACCTAAAACCATCATTATTGAGAGCATCTCTATCCATATCTGTTGTAAGTACTTCTGACATCTTTAGCTGGGTCTGTATCTTCTCCCTATGACAGAAAATAGAGGGTTTTGATATATGCATACTGAACCATCAATTCAGGTTAAATTTAATTCAACGGAATTCTTTTACCTTTTTCAACATTGAAGACTAGAATATAATTTATGAGTCGGATTTCTTTTTTGTTGATCATGTCTTGCTAATTATTTTTGCTGTTTACAGTTTTTCTTTATCTACTACTATTCTGGCGAAAAAAGGATATAATAGGCAAATTTGAAAAAAAAATTGGGAAAAATCGTCATTACAGGGCCACAACTATTAAAACTAGCTAGATTTCAACCTTCCAAACAATTTTCCTGCTGTCATATATATCCTATATATTGCAGTTTTCATGATGAAAACTGGCATTAAACCCCTATATTCTATTTTTAGCCTAGTCAGCCATGTTGGCTGTCTTGCAAGATGATTGGACACAATTTTTAAACTAAATACTAGTACCCTAATGATGATTGTTGTAAAGTCCAATTGGCCCAGTAGTTTTGAAGGGGAAGATCTTCGTAAAAGTTAACAGATGACAACAGAAGAGGAATACCAAGTGATGGAAAGAGCTCACACTGGTCCTTTTGGCCAGGTGAGCTAAAAATGGTCCAAAGCTAAACATCCCATATCCTTACTAAAATTTGGTCCAAAGCAGAACATGCCATTTTCTTACTTAAAATAGTCCAAAGCAGAAAATGCCATTTTCTTATTAAAAAATTATCCAATGCACATGATCCCAAATCCCTATAAAAATTAGATGTATACTAAACGTCCCGTATACTTATACAAAAATTACCAAAACATTATCAATAAAATGCTTCGCTGGGCGCAGCTTGATACGACCGCAGCGGTCGAACCCTGAACAGTTGGGGCAAGTATGGACACAACATTCAAGCTTGATACAGCTCTAAATTTGGATTGTGATTAAATATTTGACACAGCATAGGTTTCTGACACAGAAAGAATGTGGTCTAAGAACTTGAATTTTTTTAATTTACCTATTATGGTCCAATGTCCAAAATCAAAATACATGGTTAGATTCAGCATATCAAAGAACCCCATATATTAAATTTTTGTTGAAATCAAACAAAGTTTAATTTTGGACCCCAACTTGAACAAACTTGAAAACTGGGCCCATAATCAAAAATCTAAACACATGTTTAGATTCAGCATATCAAAGAACCCCAAGAATTCAATTTTTGTTAAAATCAAACTAAGTTTAATTTTGGACCCTTTGGACCTTAATGTAGACCAATTTAAAAAACGGGACCCAAAATTAAAAATCTAAATACACAGTTAGATTTGGAATATCAAAGAACCCCAATAATTCAATTTTTGATGAAATCAAACGAAGTTTAATTTTGGACCCTTTTGACCTCAATATGAACCAATTTGATAGCGGGGCCCACAAATAAAAAATCTAAATACATGGTTAGATTCAGCATATCAAAGAACCCCAAGAACTAAGTTTAATTTTGGGCCCTTTGGACCTTAATGTAGACCAATTTAAAAAACGGGACGTAAAATTAAAAATCCAAATACACTGTTAGATTTGGAATATCAAAGAACCCCATATATTCAATTTTTGATGAAATCAAACAAAGTTTAATTTTGGACCCCAACTTGGACCAACTTGAAAACTGGGCCCATAATCAAAAATCTAAACACATGTTTAGATTCAGCATATCAAAGAACCCCAAGAATTCAATTTTTGTTAAAATCAAACTAAGTTTAATTTTGGACCCTTTGGACCTTAATGTAGACCAATTTAAAAAACAGGACCCAAAATTAAAAATCTAAATACACGGTTAGATTTGGCATATCAAAGAACCCCAATAATTCAATTTTTGATGAAATCAAACAAAGTTTAATTTTGGACCCTTTTGACCTCAATATGAACCAATTTGATAGCGGGGTCCCCAAATAAAAAATCTAAATACATGGTTAGATTCAGCATATCAAAGAACCCCATGTATTCAATTTTTGTTGAAATCAAACAAAGTTTAATTTTGGACCCCAATTTGGACCAACTTGAAAACTGGGCCAAAAATCAAAAATCTAAATACATGTTTAGATTCAGCATATCAAAGAACCCCATATATTCAATTTTTGTTAAAATCAAACAAAGTTTAATTTTGGACCCTTTGGACCTTAATGTAGACCAATTTGAAAACTGGACCCAAAATTAAGAATCTAAATACACGGTTAGATTCGGCATAACAAATAAATAAATGTGGTCAAAGATTTTACAAATCTAATGTGCCATACTGTGCAATTAAAGATTACTTCTTGAAATTTTTCAATATTTGAAATTTGAAAAAAAAATAATATTTGAAGAATAATTCTTTTTAATTTCTGAAATCTGAAATGAGAAAAAATTGTCCCCCCCACAATTTCTTCCCCCCCCCCTTTTTTCCCCCCAAAAAATTCTTTCCCTCAAGATATGGTCATAATCTCAATTCAAATTTCCAATGGAGTTTGCAACCATAATTACCCATTTAAATTTACCATAGTTCTAACTTAATCTATTTTATAATAGAATTTAAAATATAGTGTCAAATCTTTCATATGGATATTTTTGTAAAAAAAAAAAGATGCAACATTTGCAGATATTTTTACTGGTCTTCCTTTATAAATATGCATTTCTTTAAACATAATTTAAAAGCAGTGTAAGGGAAGTAACCAAAACATTGTATTTGGATTACCTCCCTTACACTGTTTTAAATTATCTTAATTGTTCATTAACCATTACTTTATACATAATTTAAAAGCAGTGTAAGGGAGATAATTTCAATGATGTATTTGATTTATCTCCCTTACACTGCTTTAAATTATGTTTTATACTAAAGTATTTGTCCATTAACCAGGACAACCTTGTTTTTCCCCCTTTTTTGCCCCTAATTCCTAAACGGTTTGAGCCATAACCCCCCAAAGCAAATCCTAACCATCCCTTTGTGGTATGGAAACTTGTAGTATAATTTCAGAGAGATCCATACACCGTTCCACAATTATTGTCTGGTAACTAGAAAATGCTTATTTTTGGCCCCTTTTTCCTTAACTGTTGGTACCATAACCCCCAAAATCAATCCCCACCTTCCTTTTGTGGTATTGAACCTTATGGTAAAATTTCAAAGAGATCCATTCACTTAAACTAAAGTTAGAGTGCGAAAACCAATGTCTCTTCGGATGACGACGACGCCAACGTCATACCAATATACGACTGCAAAATTGCGGTCGTATAAAAACCAGACTATTTACCATTAGAACATTTCATATGCACTTATCTATATGGGACTATAATGAATTCTGGTTTTAACCTACAAAACTATGCATGCAGCCAATATATGACCCAAAAATTGCTATTGGCATAGTGTGAATTTAATACACATGTATCATCAAATGTTTTGTATTGCTAAATTAACAGGCATATCAGGACCTATACAGGTATATTCACTGAGCATGATTGAACACCAAGGTTAATATAATACCAGTACCCAGGAATTGTGAACAGCATATTTTTTTCTTCATTTATTTGTTGTTGTTTTCTATACATTGTACAACACAATTTCTCTGTATATTTTTCTATTTTTGTGAAAGAAGGGCATGCAATATTATCTCTCCTATCCATTCTATACCCAGTATATGTGCCTACACATGGTATGATATAATTTACAGTGTCACTGCATTAAAAAAAATATTGCCAACCTACTAAGGTAAATAATTATAGTTCAATCAATTTTTTTTAAAGTCTATTTCTCATTCATTTTTACAATAATAAAATGTGAATTTTAAAGTACCCCAGATAAAAAAAAATCAATAAATCAAAATATATTTGTATAATGGAGACATAATAAAATACTTTAAATCAACTGAAACTATTGTTAGCCTATAGCTAGTAGTCAGATTTTCAACTATCTAATTACTTAATTTCAAGTGTTTAAACAAATCATACCTACAACTGGGTTTTAAATTACAACCTTGACTTCCCATGATTGACCAAATCATATAACTTATCTAAGTAGTATTATTTATAGATTCAAACCAGGAAGGAAATCTTTCATATAAATTTATCTAATATGGCATTCTCTCAGTCTATTATAAGAAGTCAAGCCCCAGCTAAATGTGGAATATGTGATACTGACCGACCAATAAAGTGGAAGTGTATTGACTGTAGTAACTTATTATGTGATCATTGCAAAGAAAAAGTACATCCAAAATTAAAAGACACAGAGAATCATCAGGTGGTAAACATCAAAGATGTGGGACAACCTACTGTTGTAGAACTGAACATTAATAAACAATATCAGACTGAACTAACTGTAGTAGGCTATATATCTTATTGTGATGATGATTCACTGTGGATATGTAGTGGTCCAGATAAAGTATTACAGAGAGTAAAACCTGAAGGAACCAAACTGAACATACTATCCAGCTTTAATATCCAGGTCAATGGTATGGCTGTTACTCAATCAAATAATCTACTGATAGCTACATGGGAATCAAGACTAAAACAAATCAGTAGTAATACAGGTAAACTAACAGACTCTGTATATAATGTGTCATCATTGGAACCTACAGCAATCTATACTACCAGTGACAATAAAGTTCTAGTAGGAGGTGGTAATAAAGGAAGAAGAGTTGTAATACTAATGAATCAGAATGGAGACCATGAGAGAATGTATGAACATGATCAACATAAACAACCTATATTTACATATCCCTGGAGTATCACCAGCACCAGTAATGGGAATATTTATGTGGTGGATGGAGTAAGTGGTGACAGACGTAGAGTTGTAGTGTTAGGACAGGGTGGTGATATCATCAATATCTATACAGGAGATACCGAGATCAATAAGGACATACCATTCTTACCAACAGACATAGTGACAACACCTAGAGACAATGTTATTGTAACTGATCTGGATACTCATACACTTCATATCCTGAACAATGCTGGCACACTGATGATATATTATAAAACAAAGGACATAAACATAGAATTTCCATGGT